AAAACCCTTCTGGACTCACCAGGTGCTGTCAGGCAGGCGGCAATCCCCTCTGCTCCCCAGTGCCCCGTGCTGCATGGGGGGCTCTGCACAAGCCCCCTGGGCCCCTGCCCCCGCTCCGTCGGCTGCCCCACCTGCCAGGGCTCTGTTCCTTTAAGAAAAAAAAAAAGCCAAGGAAAAGCCTGGGTCTCACCGCTCCTGGTGTAGCCTCGGGGCTTTGGGGGCTTGTGCAGAGCCCCCCACATGCTGTGGGGCAGTGGGGGCAGCAGGGATCACCCCCCATCAGCAGGAGGGCGAGTCTCGGGGTTTCTTCAGGTTTTTTTTTTTTCTTAAAGGGCCAGAGCTGGTCCATGCAGGGCACCCATTCTGGGGCTGGGGGAGTGTATGTGGGAGGGGTTCGGGGGCTTGTGCGGAGCACCCCATGCAGCATGGGACAGTGGGGGGCAGTGGGGATCGCCCCCCACCTGGCAGCACCTGCTGAGCCGGGGCTTTTTTTTTCCAGCACTGGGGCCGGCGGGCAGCCTTTGCTCGGCTGGGAGAGGGGCAGGGGATGGGCCCGCCCTGGCTGATTCAGAGATTTGGCTGCTGCCAAATCTCCAAATCAGATTTGGCCAAATCGAATTGGGACAGTGATTCGAATCACAAAATCGAATCACTGTCCCCTGAACTGGCCAAATCCAAAGCTGATACTAGCCCGGGGCAGGCAATTATTTCGGGCAGAGGGCCACTTGATGAGTTTTGGCGAGCTGTCGAGGGCCTCATGGGTAGCCCCGCTCCTTCAGTTGCCCCACCCCCTGGTCGCCATCTTGGGACCGGACGTCCCGCCCCTGACCCTTGCCACCAGAAGCCCCGCCCCCTGACCTTTGCCACCTGAAGTCCCTCCCCTTGCACAATTTACCAGATAGCAAGGGGTTGTGACCCCTCTAACATCCTGCCCCAGCAGTGGGGGTTCAGGGGCATCAGTCCTCCCCCAGAACTTTCCCCCTACCTATGCCAGCTGGTCCCAAAAGGAGGAGGCTTTGCCACCGCTTCTGCTAGCCAGTGCCGACCCAGTCGGGCTCGCTCTGTCCCCAGCAGCACCTGGGAAGCTGGCTTCAGCTGCATGCTGCTCCGGATAGGATGGGCCCGGCTGGGTCTGCACCGGCCAGGAAAGGCAGCATGCAGCTGAAGTTGGCTCCTCACGTGCTGCTGGGGATGGGAGGAGCCTGGCTGGGTCTGCACCGGCCAGAAAAGGCGGCATGCAGCTGAAGTTGGCTCCTCACGTGCTGCTGGGGATGGGAGGAGCCTGGCTGGGTCTGCACCGGCCAGAAAAGGCGGCATGCAGCTGAAGTTGGCTCCTCACGTGCTGCTGGGGATGGGAGGAGCCTGGCTGGGTCTGCACCGGCCAGAAAAGGCGGCATGCAGCTGAAGTTGGCTCCTCACGTGCTGCTGGGGATGGGAGGAGCCTGGCTGGGTCTGCACCGGCCAGAAAAGGCGGCATGCAGCTGAAGTTGGCTCCTCACGTGCTGCTGGGGATGGGAGGAGCCTGGCTGGGTCTGCACCGGCTAGGAAAGGCAAAATGCAGCTGAAGTGGGCTCCTCACATTCTGCTTGGGATGGGAGGAGCCT